GCTTTTTTCTTTGATTTATTCTCTTTTAGTTGTTGCCTCTTTGTTATCATCAAAACATACCTTGTATCTATGATATGCAATCTTGATGATTCTCTACTTTTAATGCTTAAACATTAGGTTTCTTCAAAGGGAGTAAAGGGTTAGGGTAAGAAGACATTGGATTTTATAATTATGTTGAATTGATTTACAATATTGAAAGGAAAATTGATTAGAAATTGAATTAACTTAAACACATAAGTGAAAGATGAGGGAAAATCAAAACTCTAACTATTTTCATCATTGCAACTTTCTTGTGCTAATCACTATTTTTCTAATTGCAATTTCTCTTTGCTTTGTTATTTATTATTTTTCGCATCTTAATTTGATGCACATAGAGTTGGCTTAAGAAATATTTTTCTCACATCACAAAAGAAGTAGTAATTTAAAATCTAATAGATTTCATCCTGGGATAGACTATTTTTGCATATGGGGAGATAATTTTCTGCTATAATATGCGACAACCTAATGACCTTGTAGTAAAAAGATGTATATCCCTATGGCAGAAACTTCTATTTCAATTTTAAACTATTGAAAAAATATTAGGAACGACAAGTATAGGCGCTTCTATTAAATGCTGCTTGAGGGTAAGAAAGGTTTGATTAGCCTCAAGAATTCAATGAAATCCATTTTTGGTTAGCAGTATGTGAGTGGAGAAACAATTTTATCATAATGTTGAATAAATCTCCTGTAATATCCAAACAGGCCCAAAAAAGCACGCACATGTGACGTTGAAGTGGGGGTAGCCAATTGATAATTGCCTTAAGTTTCTGTAGATATGGTGCCACCCCATTTTCAATACAATATGGCCTAATAAGTGAACTATGGTAGTAGCAAATGAGCATTTAGAAAGCTTAGCATATAAACGATGGGTCATTAAAGTGTATACAAGAATTGCTCAAGATGCGATAAATACGAAGTAAGGAATTAAAAACTAATATATCATCAAAAAATATGACGACAAACCAGCGAAGAAAACTAGAAGAGACTTAGTTCATTGTAGCTTAGAATGTAGGTGGTGCAATGGAAAGACCAAAGGGCATTACCAGATACTCGAAGTGATCGTGATGAGTACGGAAGATCATCTTGCGGATGTCGTACGAGTGTATTTGGATATGATGAAAGCCAGAACAAAGGTCGAGTTTTGGGAAAACTCGAGCTCCATGAAGCTCAAGAAGCAATTCATCCACAAAGTGGTATCAAGTGGTCTCGAATAGTTATAGCTTTCAAAGCATGATAATTAACACAGAATTTCCATGTTTCATCCTTCTTTTTAACTAATAGATCGAGGGAACTGAAGGGAAAATAGTTGGGTTATATAAGACCTATTGTCGAAATTTACCTGACAATTTGCTCAATTTTTATTTTTTGAAAATATGAGTAATGATAAGGCTTGACTTGGACTAGTTTAGAGTTTGGAAGTACATTAATGTGAAGATTATGGGAATGACTCGATGAAAAGGAGTTGGGAATTGTAAAAATATCTTGAAATCTGATGAGGATGTGGTGAATGTCAGGGATTAGGTGGGACAAGGTATCAGATTCGACTATTGTGTAGTCCAAATCATTGATGGAGTTGGTAAGGCATATTAGGCATAAGCTGAGCAAGTTCAAGGATAGTAGCTTCTTTAATTGGGAGCAAGAGAGTGCATTGTGCAATTGTAACAAAGACCTTTTTGTGGGATTTCCAATTAGGGATTGCATTTGAGCAGCTGGTATTTTCATCGTTATTCTTTAAGGATCACTCTTGATAATACCTTTTTGGGCAATTGGTAGGATTGCATTTCGACCAAAGCAATCTTCTAATTATACTAAAATTGGTGAAATCTATTAGTATCTATGGATATTGTTACTAATTGCATGGGGCATGCCTCTAGAACTCCAGCAATAGGGGCATTGTTGTTTGGGGATCCTTGATGTAGTTATAGTATCCTAGTAATATCTTGGCGCCTATGATGCACCGACACTGACACGAGATACGACACGACACGATACGCCGACACGTTAATTCTAAAAAATATCATATTTCGACACGTTGGGATACGTTTTGATATTAAATAAAAATTTTAATATATATAATATAATTTATATTTAATACATGTAAGAGTCCATAATAAGTCACATAATCAATCAAATATTTAAATTTCATAACATAAATATAAATAAAAATAATTTTTCGTACTTTGTTAATTTTTCATGTCAAATTTCATAAAAGAAAAAAATTGATTTATAATTTTTTTATATTTAGTTAACAAAATAAAATTAAGAATAAATAAAAAACGTGTCCGAGCGTTAACCACGTGTCGAAAAAAGTTGATTGCGTGTCAGAAAAACGTGTTGAAACGTGCCCTAGAGCTGACCGCGTATCCCCAAATATTGACCGCGTGTCGAAGCGTGTCCATGTCTGACATGTAGTTTTTTTTTCAAATCACGTGTCGGTGCTTGTCAGCTTGGCGCAACAGGGCAAATTGTTGATTTTTCAATTTTTGGATATAGGAATGAGATTCTTGTAGTTCCAGAAATTATGGTTCACAAATTAGCTCCACCGCTTGGAGTTGCTGCTCCAAGTTATCCACACGTTGGGTAAGGTCACAAAACAAGTGTTTTTTTGCCATAAGAGACTGAGAAGAGATGAAAGTACCAATGAAGGAGATTTTAGGAAGAAGAATAAGAGAGAGAGAGAGGGAAATTTTGGAACCAAATAATTCATGAGTCATATTCTATCACTTTCATCATATTTATCAACAGAAAAAGTAACTAGTTCAAAAATAGTACAATCGTATTCTATCTAAATAATTGAAACTAATCCTATTTTATCTAAATAATTCAAATGCAACTAAGCTAATCCTAATTTGTCATTGATTCAAATTGCAATTATCCTATCAGAATTTAAATTCAAATAACTTCCTAATTTAATGCTAGCATGGCTTCCCCTTTATCTGAATCTCCAATTTACGCTTGGGCTGATGTTGCACATAATCCATCAAGTACATGTGCTTGTTCCCGTTTCTCTTTGGTTTATATGGGATTGGGCCTGCAACATATAGCCCCAAGTTAAATCCAAACCACCAATAGCAAAGTTCACTGCTGCTTCCCAATTAAAACCTAAAATCAACAATCAAATAAATAATTAATGGAAAAAACTATTATCATGCTACATGAGATAAGTTTTTTCCTACACACCCTTCAATAACTGTGTCACTTTTTTTTCCAGGTGATGAAACCTACAAGTTTGTCTCTATAATATGAGATAACTTATATTCTTTGATATGAGATTAATAAAACCAATAATTAATACCTATTACTAGAATTTCTATGTCTGTGAATGTGAAGAGAGAAATTCACAAAGACACGTGTACAGAGAAAGATAGCTTACCATGACTAAATTCAGCGTGATATGCGCTAGAAAGGGTGATAACAAACTGCGTATCCTTGTAAACTGCCATAGGCCACAGCACTCCAATGTAAAGCATAGGATCAATTTTTCACTCAAATTTCACATTAAATTAAAAAATCCTTGGTTTCAAAAATTGAGGACTGCAGTAGCCGTAAGAAATTCTGAAATCAATGAAATCAAATGTAAAATATTAATAAAATAATAAATACACGTACAGAATGGTACCATAAATGACATTAATATATTAAATTCAAATTGCAAACTTATAAAGATTATGAGAAGCACACGTGTTAATTAAAAGAGCACTACGACGAAATGGAGTCAGCATAAAGTCTGAAAAACAACCTTCGAATTCCATTTGCAATATATTTATGAACCAAATTTATTAGAGTTAAAATTGCATGTTTACTTTTTTTGCTTTTTTTTTTTTCAAAAAACTATTGAAGTGTGTTGGGCAAGAATATTTCGAAGGAGTATACTTTTTTTATTCTCAATTCATTTTTCGATTACTCAATTGATCAAATAACTAAAATAATTTTTTATTGATTATCTGTTTGAATATTTATTTGAAACTTTTAACCCACAATCCTTTGCTTTTTTTTAGGGCCATGTACGTTATCATTAAATGATATAATTTACTTTCAACTAAATTTTTGTGCCCACCTTATGTCAATTTTAAATGTATGCAAAATATATGAGGAGACATCTTTTGACTCTGGTGTAAGACTTATAAATCTTATTCTTCCTTTCAATTATTAATTTTCATCCATTTAACATATAATTTATTGAGTTATATTAATTAATTAACTCAATAAATTATATGTTAAATGAACGAAAATCAACGACTAAAATGAAAAGTCTTACAGTGAAGTATCCCTTTCCAAAATCTATTATATAATTATCATATATTACAAAACAATTTTTCTAGTTCAACAGGGATTTCACCATCCATATTGTCGTATAAAATAAGCTAAAGAAAATTTCTACCATCTTCTTAAATACAACAACTACGCTGCTGCTATACTAATATAATAATAATAAAAATTCATAATACATATAAAAGGAAATCGTCTTTTTCATAGCTAAGTTTGATTATGTTATTTTTACCAATTTTGTTATTATAATTTATATATATTTATAATTTAAAAAATAAAATAACTACCTTACTTATATAATTGAAAACACCTTTATTTACCAAAAAAATACCCTTTTTTGTATCTCTTTATTTTAAAATATTAAAAACATTTAAACGTTTTTTTATTAAATATTTACAGTGGCTGCGTATATCCGCTTGAAGTAATAAAAAAACGTAACCCCCAAACAAAACAAAAAAAAAGTAACGAAAACTAATATCTCATGTTATCTCTGGATCTTTTGTTCCATTTCTTTCTTTTACACACATTCCCTGACTCAATTTGGAACATATAGAAAAAAAATACTTCACTAGCTATCTTCCATCGTTTTCAGCAAAAGTTAGATTACAAAGCAAAATATCTTGCATCATTGTTGGTCATATAAGACTATGTAGGAGCCGTGATCAAACTCTACCATATGATGTCTTATCCTCAAACCTTGCCTTTCTCTCAAACTCTAACCATGAAAATGGCAATGGCCAGTGCTACATCTGCATCCCTTCCTTTGTACACTTGTTCCATGATAAGAACAAACTTAACAATCCCAACAAGGATGGGATTTCACCCTTCAAATCTACGCAAGTCTTGTTCTAAATCTAATTTAACATGCAAGGCATCAGCATCTTCTTCTTCATCCATGTCAGACTTGGATTTATATGACCTTCTGGGAATTGATAGCTCCTCTGATCAATCACAGGTCAAGATGGCATATCGTTCTCTTCAGAAGATTTGCCACCCTGACATTGCTGGCCCTGCTGGTCATGACATGGCCATCATACTCAATGAAGCTTATGCCATTCTTTCTGACCCAAATGCACGCTTGGCCTATGATAAGGTTTGTGTTCTTTCTTGGGTTGGATTGTGTTCTTTCTTAGACCATTACCCATGTCATGGTATGTTGTGGTTGGAAACTCATGAATTGTGCTTTTATTTTATCCAAATTCAAGTTTTTGTCCAGGTTCTAGTCTTTAATTACAAAGTAGTATTTGAGTCAATTTTGTTTAATAAGATCAATAGAAAATAATGAGATTTTGCATTTGAACTGGGAACATATCAGAGATTGAATAGTAATGAATCTAAGAGGCGAATCTTGGAGTGGCAGTAAGGTTGCTCCTTGTGACTAGAAGGTCACAGGTTCTCTACCCTCGCAAATCAGGTAGCCTTGTGCACGGAGTTTGCAATAACTTTGAATCCATATTTTTGAATAATATTTCAAAGGAAGTTAATTGCCAATTTGGTTTGGTTGGTTACTTAGCATGAAAAAATATGGTGCAGGAGCTAGCAAAGAGTTCAGAATTCAAAGGCTTCACTGGCAGACCCATATACTCGGTTTGGTGTGGGTCAGAAAGTGAGCAGCGGGCAATATTTGTTGATGAAATCAAATGTGTTGGTTGCCTAAAATGTGCTTTGTTAGCTGAAAAGACTTTTGCTATTGAATCAATATATGGAAGAGCAAGGGTTGTTGCCCAGTGGGCTGATTCTGAACAGAAAATTGAAGACGCAATAGAATCTTGTCCTGTCAATTGCATTTCGTAAGTGTGTATATACCATTCTACATTTAGCTTCATATTTGTGGAATAACTAAAATTCAAAGGATCTACATTGGCATCATCACTATGACTTTACTGTTTCATAATACCTTACTTCTTGTGATTTGTAGATATTGTACAATTTTCTGTTGTTACTTATCATTGAACCAGATTTTGTGATAAAAGATGCATCCTTCAGTAAAGAGAAGGTCATCCACACCTCCAGGCTATAACATCCTTCAGTAAATTTCTCTTATTTTTAATTTGTCATCATTTTCTAAAGAGAAACCGTATTCTCTTGTTCAACAGTGCACCATGCCTTAAAATTCTAATATAGCAATTGAAGGCCCTACCATAGATTATTCTAGACTCTTTACAAAAATAAGCCTTTTTGTCATGATATGATTACTGAGTTAAAAAACAGAGTTACTAGTTAAAATTCTTTTATGGAATGTTAGTGCAAAGTTCTTTCCTGCAATTTTGATACTGCCAATTATAAGAGGTACTAATATGTTTATGGTTTTCTGTGGGTGTTTTGTCTTGTGTACAAGTTAGAGTTCTCCAAGTAGTAAGGAGAGAATGATTCTCTTCGGACTGCAATGTTGGAAGTAACGTTACATTGTTTTGGATAAGATACTATTTTGGATTCATAGTAGTGTTCCTCTATTGGCACTTTTTTGTTTGTTCACTTTTATTTGACATTAACAAGATTAACATTGATTTCATGGAAGTTCTTTTCCCTCTTTTTTTTTCCTTGGAATAAGACAATTATCTTTCTTTTGAATAAAAAGGGTTGTTGAGAGGTCCAACCTTGCAGCTCTAGAGTTCTTGATGTCCAAGCAGCCACGTGGCAACGTAAGAGTAGGTGCAGGTAATACAGCTGGTGCTCGTGTCTCTAACATATTCGTAGATGTGGAGAAGTTTCAGACTCGATTCATGCAAACAATGGAAAAAGCTTCCAAGTGTTCTAAGGTTAGTTTCACTAGTAATGGGGGGGCTGCATAATAATGTAACAATAGCCATTAGAAATTTTCTTCATTATGCTAAATCTTAAATGCTTGTATTCCTCATTATCTACCTCATGGATTAACCACAGAACATCTCTTTCAGGAAACAGACCTCCAAAGAGAATCAAGAATGTCAGCAATTCAAGCAATAAGATCAGTGTCCAATTGGTTATACTGGCAATCAGCTATTGCAAGTGGTATCTCAGCAAAACCTGACAAAAGCATGACAAGAGTTGCATATAAATTACCTGAACCAAATATTGGTAAGCTCAGAGAAGCTGCTGCAAGGAAGAAAGTAAGAGATAGGAAAAGGACCAACAATCAAACCCCAATAAATTGCATTCATCCTGAGGAGTATTGGGCACCATCAACTTATGCTCTTCCATCTTCAACTATAAATATCGTTACTCCAACACCAACTACTGAGAAGCCTTCAGTTACTGCAAAACAAAAAGAAAAAAATGAAAGAGATCCTGAAACATATAAGAATCAAGATAGCCCTATTAGATGGGGATTTCCAATGGTTACTGCAATGATTGCAGTGGCTACAGTTAGATTACATGAAGTAGGGTCAATAGATGAGGTGAAACAACATGTGGGTGGTTCTCTTCTACCTTTGGATATTGTTAACAGCTCTTGGTTGCAGAGTGTACTGGCAGCAGCTACATGGTATATAATTGGAATGGCTGTTGTAGAACTTGTGGCCATAGTTGGCAATAGAAATAGATAGAAGTACATAATAGAAGCTTGAAAATGTTAATAGCAAAGATAGAGTATATACATGTAATAAGAAGTAATGTTATGATGAAACACATGAATTACAGCAGATGATGTAGTATAAGTTCTCCATTAAGAATACCATACTTGATTAGTTCTCTGATTCGGCTTCTTCTGAAACTAAGGTGTGAACTATTAACCCAACCTTCATGGGGTTTATAATTTACCACTTGCTTGGACCTTTCCTTTATATGTTCCAAGGACATTGATGCATACACATTTTAATTCTAGGATTTTGATTGTAATATTTTTATTTGAAATTCAAAACTTTGTGAATTTTAAAACACTTTATGCAAACACAACCCTAGACATTTTAATTCATGCAATTTAAGGTTCGTTTGTGCTAATTGGACTTTGTTCGAGTCCTGAAATTTTAAACTCAGTATGTTTTGGATTTAAGTTCAAGCCACATTCGAGTGGATCTAACTCGATCCAATATCACGTAATATTTTAAAATAAAACTAGTAATAAATTATAATATTTTCCCCTTAATTCAATATCTTTTTCATAAAAATAACAATATTTTTTTATAAAAGTAATTTGTTTTGAAAGAATATGTAAAACATTATTTAGCCAATGTTTCAAAAATTGAACTGGAAAATGTTGAACTCGCGAGACTTATATAGGTCATGGTTTTATTAATGGCTTAATATTTTTACGTAGATAAGTTATTTACATTCACTCCCAAAACAACGTCATTTTGAGTTGAAAAATTAAAAAATTATAATAAAATAGACTATTATAATCCTGAAATAAATTACAATTATAAAAATACTTTGATTTTCGTCCAAAAACAATGTCATTTTAGACTCAATGTAGATAATATATTGACTGCAGAAAAAATGAACCCTTTATTAATTCAACCAATTAAATCTATGGTTGAACACTAACTAAATTAAATAGTGTTGGGACTAGAGACATGGCTGGTTCTTCAATCATAGTTTCTTACTATCAGTGGCACCCAAATAGTTTTATTATGTCTGCAGATTTAGGAATGAGATTCGGTGGCATTGCCCTCGAAATTTTTTTTTAAAGAAAGTTTTAAATGTATTAAAAAGCAAAAAGAATATAAAAAAAAGAAAAGAAAACTGGATTTTACTACAAAAATAAAGGAACTTTTGAGTCCTCGATAAAAATCACTGGACCCAATTTAATCCCTTAAAAAAAATTGACTCGTGATCCCTCTGAATTTCAAAATAGACCCATTTTAGTCTTTTTGAGAGACTAATGTAGGCCTTCTTTGAATTTCAGAGGAACCACAATTTCGAATAACTGGATCTATTTTGAAATTCAGAAGGACCGGGAGTCGACTTTTTTTTCTTAAGAAATTAAATTGGATCCTGTAATTTTAATTTTTGTTGAGGACACAAAATATACTCTCTTTTTTTTTTTTTCAAAAATTTGTATGTGTACTTACACACAGTTACATCAATATAGGTCCGCAGCTGGTTACTATTAAAATTGCATAACTTAAATATCTGCAATATTAAAATTTATAATTAGCTATAGTCCTACGCTACAAATAACCAATTTTATTTTTCGGCTTTGCATGAATTATTAGGTCCGGTATGAATTCGAAAACTTTTGTCCTTTCTTCTTTCTTTCTTTTTCTTTTTTTTATAAGTTATAAGTATCCTCTACCGAAAATAATTTTATTCGAACTGACAACATGTACCATTTGAACTAATCCCTTTCTAAAACTCGGGAATTTTCTAGGAAGAATCTCAGGTGAAGGGTGGACGACAGCATCCAGATCCTATGTTGTTCCCTAATGAAACAAAGACACAGTACAGTTGTCAGTAACCCATGCTTATGCATAGCAAATCTTTTATAATCTAACATGTTTTATTTCTTTTATAGCATGAGTGCATGCATCCCTCTCCTGCTTGAATTGTTAATCATATTGCTCTAATATTCAACAACAGTATCTTAAACCACTAACATATCCACAGAAAGGGGAAGGTTCCTTTGTACAAACTATACCTTAGCTGTTACCATTATGCCAATTTCGTACCACAAGAAGGATACTTCAATTTTGCTTCCTCATCTGAATCTAAGATCTAATTAGGATTAACTATTTTTAAGCTTTACTACTATATATATATATGAACCTATTAAAGCACCCAATGAGACTATAACAGAATATTAGCTTTCTTGCCTCTATACACAAGTCTAATTTTCTTGTAAAGTGAAAACACCTTCTACCACTTCAAGATGGCACCCCTTGATTTTGATACTCTTAAAGATTTGCACATTTCTGCAAATGAACTCCTTCATTCTCCAATAGTTCAACAAGCTCTTGTTTATGAAGAAAAATGGGTTAATGATGTCTCAGAGTCATCTCTGAGGATGTTAGAGGTGTGTGGTATCTCCAAAGATGTTCTTTTGCTAGTAAAAGAACACCTTCAAGAACTTCAATTTACTTTATGCAGAGCAAGTATTGGTGAACCAAGAATTGAGGAAAAAATCACAGCATACAATTGCTATAGGAAGAAGTTGAAGAAAGAGATTCTAAAGTGTTTGAAGGGTATGAAGAGTAAAACAGTCACTTTGCACCCTCTAATGGAAGAACAAAAACTAAAGTTGGTTGTTGATGTGCTAAGAGAAGTAAGGGTGGCCAACATTTCCATTGTGGAATCACTATTGTTCCTAATTTCCTCGCCCTGGTTGGATTCAAAATCAAGGAAATTGTCTTTCACGTCAAAGCTTATGCGTGTGAGTTTGCAGAATTCGGATGATATCTATGATGCCATGGTGCTTCAAAGTGCAAACAAAAGGTTAGCAGGGGTTCAGATGGCAATAGAAGATCTTGAGGTTGAGTTGGAAAACATGTTTAGACGTTTGATCCACACAAGGGTTTTGCTTCTAAACATACTTACCAACTAGGAAATTTTGTAGGAACCCAACACCAATGACATGGATCAACTAGCTACTATGGATACAATGGTTGTTATTCTTTTTAAGCATATTATTTAGTTTTTTTTTAACCATTCCCTCTATTCTTTGATTGTTTCAAATAACTATATTGTAAATCTGCAATCAATATCCAATATAATTTAACAATGTTTATTCCTTCTTGAGAGTTACATATTTACATCCTATTGAAGATAAGTTCGGTGGGATTTCAGGATATGGATAAGGTACCCTTTCTTGTATAATTTAGTCTAAAAATTAATGCAATCAAATAGCTAGCGGTAAGGGTGTTCTGAATTCTTAAACAAGTAAATTAAATTAAACCACAGTTTGATTTAGTTTCTTTTACTATATAGTTTGATTTGTAAACAAAAATATATGTACAGTTTGCAATGGCCAAATATATGGAATTCATATCCTTACACCAATGATTTAAACATTTTGTCCATTCTTCCGCACATGTCGCAATAAATTTCAGCATTTATAGGAACAAGATTAAAACAAAGACATGCAGAGATGTCTAACAAGGCTAGAACTTAGGGAGAAACTACTCAGTTGATTTTCTCTTTCTATTTTAAATCAGTAGCACTCCCCTTCTTGAAGGATGCCATTAAGGATTGAGCTGTCTCATTACATTGCAAATAACATTATAGCAAATAAAAAAAGAAATTATCTACTCCCTGCAAGAGAATGACAAAAAGAAAAAGATGTGGGCATATAAATGAAGATTAAAGACATATATACCACATTTAAATAAGCAGAACAAGTCTCTGACTTGATCCCTTTTTTTGTTTGAATAGTCCCGAAGTTGGAACCAACGACAAATACTGTAGTATGCGCCTTGGTGGGAATAAGGACTTCCTTGTACCTACTCTTAAATGCAAGCAAGACTAGAAAATTGATTGTTCTATCACGGACTCTGCCCCAAGGAAAAATAAATGAACAAATGAATAAAATTTTGAAGAAGTAATTAGATAGTTGCATGAAATAAGACAAGATATACAAATTGGGAAAAGTTACTCTACCTGTCTTTTTTTTTTTTTTTTTACCTTTGTTTATCATTCTCCAACATTATTATATCAAAATATCAATAAGATAGAAAAATGATAAAGGTAGTTGAGATTCTAATTTTGTTGGAAAGGGGTAGACAAAGGTAGACAGAAAAAGAGATAGGTAGAATAACATATCCTATACAAATTATACATATTTCAAAAATATTGTACATTACAAATTAGAGATAAGTTATTCTACCTATCTTTTTTATGCCTACCTTGCTTATTACTCTCCAACGCCGTTAGATCAGAATTTTAAGATGAGAGAAAAATAGTAAAGGTTAATTGAAATTCTGATCTAACAGTGTTAGAAAGTGATAGGTAAAATAGATAAAATAACTTATTCCATCAAATTATACATAAATAACTTTCCTTGATGGTTTGAAGGGTCGTTGCCTTGCCCTTATCCAAGCTGCATCTTATGTTCAAAAACAGAGGGAGTACCTAACTGTGAATATTTTTTGCATGCTATTAGAGACCTGCTAAAAAAGAGAGAGTAGAAGATCACCTTGTCTTATCTTTTGTACCTTTCAGTATTTCTAGAATGTATTTCTAAGCGTCAATAATGTAAATTTTAATATCACCCGATAATTTAAATTTTTAAGTGAAATCACATTAATAATTTTATATTAATATATCTAAATACGATAGGCAGAGCAAAGGCATACAAAGAAGAGGATCAAGTAGATATAATACCTTTCATAGAAGCAAGCAATAGGTGCCAAAATAGCTGAAATTTCCTATCAATATGTTAGGTTGGTCAAGTAGTCCATTCCTTTCATTGAGAACCTTCTTGAGAAATACAATGACAAAAGCCAGAGCTAAATTATGATTAGAATCATCACAAATACCGGCTTCCACAGTTCATTGAAATTTAACAACGTCATGATTTTTTTTTCTCTTAATTAGAGTTTGTTGTTTGTAGAGCTTTGGTAGAATGATAGGATGCCGGATATCCTGTTCAGTATCTGGACTTTTGGGCCGATGTTTTATTGTGTGAATGCATTTCTCCCAAAAATAATTGTCCTTTATAATGTTATTAGAATAATTTTTCTAGAGGCAATGATAGTTCTCGCTGTTAAACAGTGGCGGTTAACACGACATAACACAATATAATATGGCTTTAACATGAATAGAATACAAATTTAAAAATGAGTCAACACTTTCGACATGAATACAATCCACTAATTTTGTTAATTAACACGATAGATACGAATAATCTGTCAACTTTAAAGTATGTTGTCATTTATTATCCGAGTTAACTAAACACGACGCAATACAAATACTCGTATAAGAAAATTAACACGGATATTTTTGCAAATTGACACACGACAATAGACAAAATTTTTCGTTTCAAGTTATTATCAATGTGAACACGAACCGAAACACGAATTATTTGTATAGGGTCAATGGGTTGTATTGAAAATTACGACATCTAATTAATGATAACTAATTTACATTTAAATATTACAAATAATTATGGTTCTTATAAGAGAATTATAATTGTCACTATTGCATTATATTATTTTTATTATTATGAGAAATATAAGTCTTATGTTGTATAAAAATACTATCTTATGCAATACATTCATAGTATTTTATGTCATTTTTTTTTTTAAATTATGAACTCCACATATTTTTTTTTGGTATTTGAACTCCACATATTTGTCTCACCCACAAGAGTATTATCTCCAATAACATGAGATTAGTAACTCCTTATTATTATTATTATTAGGAAAAACTTCAAAAAAAACCCTATAAATTTCTTTAGAATCACTTACCTTTTCCCCAAAATTTTAATCATTTACCTCTGTATCTAACTTTTTTTTATCATTTACCCTTAACTTGATTTTTCATCCAAAATTGCAATTAACAGTGTTAGTTGTTTTATAAAATACCAAAATTACCCTTTAATTATATATAAAAAAAAAATGTTGTCGGTGTTTATATGTTGAGAGCTGTGGCCATATCCTCTCTTTGTCATCAGTTATGCCTCTGTTAAGCCAGTTATGAATATCCACAGTCTTTGAGCTTCATACCTACATCGGTTTAACTTCTCCTTTTTTCTACGCACACGAAGTCATCTGACCGAATTCCTAACTTTATTTTGTTTCAGGTTTGGAAAATTTTGTATATAATATTATTCTGATTAGGCATAAAGAATTTTTTAAAGCATCAATCCACTATAATATTATTCTAATTTTTTTTTTCTCAATCCTTTCAAAAAAATTTCTTACTGTTTCGTTAAAAAGTGTTGTCGAAGTCCAAAACCTTCATAGTCATACCCTTATCAGGTTCGACGAAGCCAGCTGTAGAGTTTGCACAAAAAGGTCTTTCTATACTGAAGTTTTTTTACCTTGCATTGTAGTAACAAAAATAGCTTGCTAGAATGACAAAGGCCTTCTTCTAGAATGAAACAACACCTGCAGTAAACGAAGATTTAAAATATGATGCAAAAGCTTTGTAGATGATAAAAAAAGTAATTAAAATAGATTGACAAACAGAAGCGTAATTGACAACAAATAAAATCAACGTGTTGTTTGTTTTTAAATTAAAATGTAGTTTTGGTATTTTATAAAAAAATTAACACTGTTATCTATAATTTTGGATAGAAAATCAAGTTAGGGTTAAATGATAAAAAAAAAACTTTAAGTAAGAAAATAAATGATTAAAATTTTCAAAAAGGAGGTAAGTGATTCTGAAGAAACTTATAAGGGGACTTTTGAAGTTTTCCTTTATTATTATTATAAAAAGGAAAGGGAAATCCAATGAGTCCCTCAAGCGCCTTTCACACAAAATATTTTAATGCATCTTTTTATTGGATTTTTCACCGCAAAGATGCATTAAGCATGAGAAATTTTTAATAATTTTTCACATTAATTTTTAGACCCCTCATTCAATAATTAACAAGTGTAAAAGTGATGAATTACACTTTTTTTTTTAATCTTCTATAGCTGATCAGTGCTTCCCATCTCGCGGCATTTTACCAAAAGAAAAAGGAAATTTAATTATGTGTTTTACTTATGACTATACGTTACTGAGTTTATTTGATAATATAAGTACTCATCCCCTTAATAGTGGTTAATATTCTTTATTAATTATATATACGCTTGCTCAAGAAAATCATTGGCCTTAACGATGCCTCTATTTCGATGTAAATTTTTAAGCTCTCAGGAATCTATGACCAGTTAATAACTAACTTAAAATATAACGTTGTCACGAGAATAGAACTATAATAATGTCTTCAATCCCTTCTTATAATACGTAAAATATATGAAAATCACTAAGATTTCCAATTAATTGTTATGTGCTATATATATCTAATCCATTCTACTGTCTCTTTGGATCATGTACATAACAAACATAAACACTTCGTTGTCCAACACACAACTGAAACTTTATGTATATACTAGACTAGAAAATTCCGATAAACAAGTTATTATTGTATCCTTTCAAGCTGGATGTACCACAGGAATAAAAGCCAGCGGGAAATCTGTCCGTATGTGGATAACAACACAAGTCACTTCATTCACAGAAGAAAACTCCATCTATCTGCAAGTCAAGATCCCATAGATATATCATTAAAGATAATATATGATTTACAAAATTTATAATTGATAAGTAACTTTCAATCAGCAATATGCTCTCTTTCTAAGAAAAAAATGAATTTACAATTTATATAGTCTTATTTGAGTACTTAATTAGTTTTATTTTTTTATATACTCACCTGTTTATCAATTACTCAATCAATACGATTCGAGTACTAATAACTCATTATAAGACGTGACTTTCCTAAGATCATTTTTTCTATTTGTAAGTCTTGAATTTAAGACCTCTGATTAAGGGGGAGGGAGTGCTTAATTAATTAAACTCACATAAACTAACACTTGTGTAACTACATAATCAATTTAGTATGAATTACGAATATCCCAAGTGCTTGTGTATTAGTATGAATCATGACATATTGCATAGAATCTCCATGAAACTACTCCATTAGCCAAGAAAAATATAATCAATTTATTGAAACTTAACTTTTTTTTTTTTTTTTTTGTAGTGTACAATCTTGAAACTTAACTTTAGTTAGCTTAATATATATGTTGCGTATGTCAATCAATAAAGAGAGATGATAACAAATAGCATTAGCGATTAACATATCAATACCATTTAATTTTGTGGCTCTGGGGCCCTGACTGAGTCATGAATATTGGGCTGCGCCAACTGAAGATATGGGTGAAGGTGTGGAAATGCAGGGGCAGCAAGTTGAAGGAAGGTACTAGTAGGTTGTTCTTCAAAGAAAGGGAAGTGATCCATTACTTGCTGATGTTGCACTGGTTTATTTGCTTCCACTGCTGCTTTCTGAAACTCAAACATTGTTCGGTGCTCCTGAATCTTTTGTGAGTGTTAACAAACATAAACTATCATTACGAATGGCCAAAATTAAATGTGTCATTGTTCGGTGCTCCAAAATTAAATGGCCAAAATTTACCCATTAAGCTTGGATGATTAGTTTAATGTAAGAATCTAATTCCAAACGGCACTTAAATTAATTTGGAGATACTCTTACCCAATTGGTCAAATTGCTGTTTTCTTCTTCCAAGATTCTTTCCTAAATTACAAAGAAGATAGAATAATTACGAATGATGCCATTTCTATGTTAAATATGGGGCTTGTGTGTGTGTATATATATATATATGAAAAAAAGCAATTATATGTGTCACCTTCCTGCGAAGATTCTCGATTTGCTGTTGTAAGAGCTCATTCTGCAGGGAAAATCATGTCAAATAATTTGTGTTGAAGATGGAGTCGTGAAATTTTGCGGGCAAATTACAAATAACTCCATGATCTTTCTATCATTTTCAATTTTCATACATAAACTCTATTTTGTAACACATAATCCCATGAAATTTAGGTTAGAATGAAACAAAATTAAATTCTGTAAGTTTTAACGTTTCATAAGTAAGGCTGGAAGTCGAACTAAGTTAGAAGCTATTAAATCTTCCATTTTTTTAAAGGTAGATAATTCTCCCGTCATGACCCAAGGGACCTTAAAATTGATAGAATTTCACGTTATTCTTTTTAATTAACTGAATCTTAACTTTTTATTAAGGGATTATTTGTAATTTACCCAAAATACTTTACATATAAGTTACATGTTCTTTTCTTTTTTTGATAAAGATAAATTTATTTTTTTTGGTGAATGATAAAGATAATTTACATATTAAACAAATGTTATTATATCTTAATATATGCTGTATGCACTGGATTTGTAGTAACAGAGTAACAAATGGCAAATAGAAACTATATTTGGTGGCAATGGTTAATGAATTCTAGCAACAAGGCTATAATTAAGCAACACAAAAAAATAAATTTAATACTTTAATCAAATATTATATTTTGGTTTAATTCACCGTTCATCATATATTATTTTCACTAAACATTTTTTAAAATCTCCCATCACTTTCATTTTTTTATTTTACTAAGCTCAAGTATTGATAAAATTTGAAAATCAAGCAAACAAAATAAAAAAGTTGAGCAATGAAAAACATAAAGTCAATCAGAAGAAGGAAGAGAGTATAAGCACCTGTCGATTTCGAACTTTGGCGACAGAGCTCTCTAAGTCTTCTTCAAGTTTCGTCAAGTCCTCAAATTTTAAGCAGCTCATATCCTCTCCAAGATAGCGTTGAATTCCCAATTCAAGACGTAGAGTTTCTTGCCTGAGCATTGCCACGTCATGGAGTAATTCTTGCTACAAATATTTGATGAAAGAACATTAATTAGGAATTAATATGATATGACTGAACTCATGCAAACTAGGCTTAATTTTCACAATATTAACTAAAATTTAGCACATGAGCCTAATACCCGGGGGTGATCATGTTCCACAATGCTAGTTCCTGTGGATCTCTGATACTTTTCTATCATCTGTTCCATCCTGAGAATTAAAGATTTCAGGTTAAATATTTATTCCACGAACAAAATCCATGATATATGCAAAGGCTTTATGTCAGTAATTAACTTCAAAACTTTTTTATTGCATTATCAAGAAATAAATAAATAAAATAAAATAATGTCAATTAGTATAAAATTTTGGTTCTCCCAAAAGTTAACGGGATGAATTTCTTTAAATACTTCAAATACAACATAAAAAATTCACACTCCGTACATTACAAGAAGTTAAGTTTCAACTACATCTCAATTGTGGCCTTAATTACACGTTGAATGTGCTACATTAGAAGTTTATTAATATTTAACATTTAATTGTAAGAGTATTGTAAGTTAATTACACAGAATTGATGCAGGAAAGAGGTACTTTGGTTTCATAACATTTAGGCTGAGGAAAATATTCACTATTAGTGATGGTTAGACATTTAACGTTTATCCCTTTTTAAAAATAAAAAAGATAAAAATAAGTACGTATTCAAATACTTCATATATATTCCCTTAAAAAACATGTAATTAACAGGGTCTGCGGAACAGAAACCCAAGCTAAGATTACAACGTTCCTTTGAAATCAGTGGCCTCTTTTCTTACCCCAGTAGATATTACCGCCTCTGACGGCAAAGCCATCACCACATTCACATTCAGCTTCTAGGAGACGACCCAGTAAGCAGAAAAAGAGAAATTGAGCTTGGAAATTCAAAAGTTTACAACTTTTTCACGGTTGATGGCAACAGTGATGGTTTGTAATTGGAAAGAGTATAAGAGTTTAGAGCACACACATTAATTACAAACATATGTGGGTTGAAAATGAAATCTATCCCCGTCACATGCCGTCTGAAAAAATAATTAAATTATAACTTGAACCCATCATCAGATCTGTAATCTCTATGTCAGATCAACACAGTTTCGAAGTCCAGGCACTCAAGTGGGTCAACGTTCCGTTAAAGAATGAAAGTTATAAACCTAAAACACTCTCATTCGTATGACATATATACATCATTATATTAACTCGACACAGAGATAGAAGGAGAACATTACATAAGCATCAAGGGTCACAAATCAAATTTTACAAGCAAGGATCCGAGAAATGAAAAAAAAAAAAAAAAAAAAAAAAAAAATGTACGCACACGCACCTCAAGGGTTCAGTGCAGTACTGAAACATCTTCCCAGTGCTGGAGAAGATGATAAGCCCAATCTCTGCATCGCAGAGCACAGAAAGCTCACGAGTCTTCTTCATGAGACCCGTTCTTCGCTTGGAGAAGGTGACTTGCCTTGTTGTGGTGTTCTGGATCCTCTTGATCTCAATCTTTCCGCGTCCCATCTTACAAACCCTAACTCTCTTTCTAGTCTTTGTTTCCCTCCCTGTATATTACCAGATATAAGTGAGAGGCTTTTAATAACACAATGCGTTTTTATGCTTTTTGCATGAGTTAGAATATGGAGAGAGAGAGAGAGAGAGAGAGAGAGGGAGGGGGTGAGCAAGGGTAAAAATGTCATTTTAGTGTTGGTGCTAAAGTCAGTGGCGGAGCCCATGTGCCATGCAGGTACGAGGATGATAGCATTCGAGTATATGAATCAGAATGTGGGGTCATGGAAAAGCAAAGAGGGGCATGACATGGAGTGGGTGATGATGGTGTGTGTGAGGGCAAGGGCATTTCATGCAATATTGTACAAAAAGCAAGGTTTGAAAGGTAATATTGCTAAAGCAAGAAGAGAATGAGTTGTTGCAAAACCGAACCATTATTTGGTTGGTTTAATGAGAAATCTGAACTTTACCACAATAGGTAAATGGCGAGAATGTTAAGGTTACTATAAAAGGATCCTCAAAGACTCATTTTAGAAACGACAAAGAATCAGAATCCCTCTGTACATTTATTGCCATGTGGTTGTAATAAGTAGCTTACTCATTGTCGATTAGAGACCGACTTATATCAACTGCATTTGAAAATGAAAATAGTGTTCACACTATGCAATTTGTGTGTCCTATTTTTATGCATATATGGCTGTGATTTGTGTGTATCTCTCACTTTTTCAATGGTCAATATGTGTCACACATTTTTCTTCACTTTAATTGTTTGCTTAATTTGGCAACAAGTAACATTTTGATGTGGTAGCTACTGTGTAAATTATTGAACTCGCCGATCATATCAATTGGGATTGATAATTAATTTAAAATTTTTAAATGTAATTTTTAGCAGTCAAATAACTTCAACGGTATTGTAATGAAAAGTTTCCGTGATTTCGTCTAGAATAAAATGATGAAACTATGGACAAGAAGATAAAAGTAAATGGAGTAATTTGATTGATATAAATTGATTACTCTACATGCATTTCAAGAATTGACGCATGAAGTTCTGAGTGTATCTTATCAAGGGGAACAAGGAGGCATTATGTTTATTTATAGGTTTCTTTATATTCAACCAGTTCATATTTTCGGGTGCTTTTTTTTCCTTTTCTTTTTCGTAATATTCAGATCTTTGATTTACCCCACTTTAATAATATAATTGTGTTCTCCAAATATATATATATATATATATATATATATATATATATATATATAAATATTTCTGCAGTTACTGCAGATAAGTTATCTGCATTTACTATTAAAACGACGTCGTTTTGGGATTAAAATATTTAAAAATTATAATTATAAAGACTATAATAACTCTGAAATAAATTAAAATTACAAAAGCACTATGATTTCTGCCCAAAACGACGCCATATTGAATTTATTGCAAAAAAAACCCCATATATATATATATATATATATATATATAATTGTTTAAACCATATACATATAGTCACCTAGCCATGCATCCACATTGATATATTATACTATTAATTTTTTTCGTTAATTAATTAAGAAAGGGTGGGTTTCTTTACTCAGGATGAACCGAATAAAAACACGCGTATAATACCAACGTTACCATAGAAACAATGAGCAAAAACATCAGAAAGCACATGCATGGTCCCCTCTCCCTAGTCCCTTCCCTGATCTCTCTCATTCCATTTTATTTTTATTTTTTAAGATTTTTCCACCCGTTTATTCCATCTCTTTGTTCTCCCATGTATAATACTTTTTATTTTTTTATTTTTGGTAACAACTCACGTGTAGTGCTTTATCCTTCCATTTCGTTGCCTGAATGTGAAGCGAAGAGGAAAAATGAATATTAATCTGTTTCAGAGTACTCTCTTTTTTGGTAGATTGTTTCTCAGTACTTTTAACCACTCGTTTTCTCATAACGCGTTACTTTTTTAAATTTAGAAATTTGACTATTTAGTCGGTCACTTAGTCATCATATATGATCATGAAGGCAGCTTGAATGAGAAAACAAAGTATAATTTATTCATATATTGGAATTGGCTTAATGATAATAAATGTTGTTGTTGAATATTAGGATTCAAGAGGTTTGTATGTAATTCGTTTGTTACAATTACACAATGGAAATACTATTATATAATACAGTGAGTAAAAGTTTACAATTTTATCCCTTATACTAAACTATTCTTTCCCTACAACAAAAAAGGTAAAGGAGGTGGTTTATATTATATCTATTTATTTAAATAGATTTAAATCAAATTATTATCTTTGTAATTAGCTTCACAGTTATAAAGTTTAGTTATAAGCTTGTTACTTTGTTAACTGCTTTTGGCTTAGATGTCAAGTTTAGTTAGTTAATTAGCTTGATTAGTTTTTGGGTTACTCTTTGTAATCCAGCTCATATATAAGCTGGTGCATTACTTTCTGTAATTAGACTTTTCATTCTTTTAACTCAGTAATGAAATCATCAATATTCTCTCATTCTGAGAGCTCTGATATTCGCCATTTCTTTCGCGCTATCTTCTCCTTCTTGTCTTGGTGATTCTACCTCAAGATCCTTGATTCTTTTTCTGGTAGCCATAGAGAAACAACCATGGTGGATCAGAGCTCTCCTCAAAGTAATGAAGAAAATAGCTCAAATGCTACGCATGCAGCTGTGAATGTTGATGCGGTGCATACATCAGAAAATTTTTCAGATCCAAGTAGTGCTTACTACCTCCACCCAAACGAGAATCCATGTCTCGTGTTAGTATCTACGCTCATGAATGGAAGGAACTACCATAGATGGGCAGAGCAATGACAATGGCGTTGATCTCCAAGAATAAGCTCTAATTCGTCAATGACTCCATTTCAGTGCCAGATCTGACAGATTGAAGGTATGCTGCCTGGGAGAGATGCAAAACCATGGTTATTACTGATTCTATTTCACAGTCGATTTTATGGATGGATCAAGTTGTAGATGTATGGAAGGACCTCAAAGAGAGGTTTTCTCATTCTGATATTTTCAGGATTTCTGATTTGCATGATGAAATTTTTCGTCTGCACCAAGGAGAAAACTCAATTTCGGATTTCTATACTCAACTCAAGATTTTGTGGGATGAGTTAGAATCCATGCAGCCAACACCTACTTGTAAGTGTGTTAGGCCTTGTTGTTCAATCTCTTCTCAAGTAAGAAGTTTCAAAGATAGAGATTATTCCATCCGATTTCTCAAGGGACTTAATGAGCAATTTTCTCATGTAAGATCCCAAATTATGCTGATGGATCCCCTACCTTCAATAAATTGTGTATTTTCCCTGATTACTCAGCAAGAAAGGCAGATGCACTTGGAAAATGTGGTGCCTAGTTCTGCGGATGGAACTTCAAAAGTGTTCTTTAGTTCAGCAGAAAAACAATCAGGAAAGGGAAGTTCTAATGCTAGATGCAGAGGATGTAACACCTCGTGTATACCCGGTTTGTTATCATGTCATCGTATTAAGCTTTGCTTAATTAAAAATGCAGAATAACTTTTTCTTTTTAATTATGACGTCATTATCAATTACCAAGTTGATTACTTAATCCTTTTAAAAACCTTGCCTGTATGTAATTGCAATTAAACAGCTATATACACTGAATAACCTCATAATATAAATATGGGAGTACCTAAATCACGGAACTACAACACGCAGTCCGGACCATAATCCTAATACATTAATACAACTCGAATCTAAAATAAGACATAATCAATCAATGTGGCATGGACAATTCCCATGCTCACCAAATAAGGCAACAAGGCCCAACAGAGTCTCAACAGAAAATCATAATAATAACATAAAGCATGTCAGAATCCAGCAAATCATCATAAAGGCATAATCTCAACTCAGCTCTGGCCTCCTGCCGCCCGAAGTCTCAACTCCGGAGTTACCTGAACCTGAAATATGTGCCCCAAACGTGGGGTGAGATCTCTAAACAGAAATCTCAGTAAGACAAGGGGTCCTCAATGATTTCTCCACCCCAAGCTCACTTACATGTGCAATATAAGTTCAAAAGCAGTAATATAATATAAGTTCTAAAATCAGTGCAATGCAGTAGAATAATCATGTCATGCGTGTCAGCTATTCTACTGGCTAGAGAAATGCAAGATTTACATACGTCTATTACCCACAGAATCACCCTATGTCATGTCTACTACATACACAGGCTTACCGTCTAGGTGGAACGACACATGCATATTATAAGCACTTGCACATAACAGCTCAAAAGCATTTCAAAATCAATACATGAAAAAACATCATGCATATAAACCATTCCCCCATGGGGTATGGTGAAACCATAAACCAAGGACACGAAAGCTTACCTCGCAAGTTAAACCCTCCCTCATGACTCGGTGTCCAAAGGATCACAAGTAATAACAGTGTCCAGCAAGGTCACAGAATTGTTTAACATTCATACTATCAATGAATATATCATAGCTTTTCAGATTTAAAACGAACATTATTTCTTTTTCGTTTCGCTTACTGCGGGCTCTTTCCGAAGCCACAAGCACAAAACTATCTTTACCATTTTCAAGACTGCAATTTCATCTCTTTATTAAATATTCTAAGATTTTACTATGTTAAACTAGACATCTTAAGGTTTCCAACGATACATTTTATGTCTCAATTGGAGTTGTATAACTCCGGTTATATTTTTCACAAAGTGACTGCTGCAAACTGAATTTCCAGCAATCAAGTCGCAACTTCAAACCAACACTACGACCAAACTACTTATCCAATGGCTATGAAATATTACAGGATTGTAGGCCTATGTGTTATCTTTACTTAGGTATAAACCTCACTCAATTTGGAGCTCTTTAGCTCGAGATATCGCGATTTTACTAAACTAGGTCGTTGCTATCACATGTAGGAATCGATTCCCAAATATGGGGAATCCATTCCTGCACTTGGAAATCGATTCCCAACAAAAGGGAATCGATTCCCACGCGTGCAGAAAAAAATTCTGCAGCAGAAATCTGCATAATCCA